GCAACACAGTCCGGCTGGGGAGACCCTGATACCCAGGAAATGACAGTACCATGTGGTCATGGAGCAGAGTGCATCCAGATCTGGTTGTAGAGTTTGCTTCAGAGTATGTATGCCTGGTTGGAAGGAGGAGGGATTGGACCAGGCCAGGATGGTGGCAGCTGAGAGAGCTTCCTAGAGGAGGTGGGACTTGAACTAGGCCACAGGACCCTGTTGTCACGTTCCCCGTCGCAGCCTCGGTCTGTAGGGATGAGGTGCTCAGAGCCTCTTTGCTCTGGGGTCTACTGCCGGGGTGGGGGTGGGGGGTGGGGGCTCTGTAAAGAGAAAGTCTCTGTTGTTTCACTGAAGGATCATCAGTCCATGTTGGCAATGTTCGTGGCCTCCTAGCCTCCAGTGGACCGTGTGCTGCCGTGCCTGGCAGGTCTGGGGCCTTGGGGGGCCGTCTGGACAGGCAGGAGGAAGCAGGAGCAGCAGGTGGGAGGGAAGGATGCGCCCTTGGTCTGGGAGCTGGTGGTTGTGTGGCCTTGCCATCTCAGCCTGTGTGGGTCACACTCCTGGGAGAAGGCCTGCTCTGGTCGAGTCCTAGGGGCACTCGAAATGCCTGGCAGGGTCCAGCTCCATCCTGCCCTGGACTGGTAGGGAGATAGATGGGAGACCGTGGCTGGGGGTCCAGAGGCAGGTCCTAGCTATTCTCAGCCTCACTGTTCTGGATGGAGGAGTCTCAGAAAATGGTGAGGAGAGTCTTTTCTTTTCCCTCTGGCTTCCCTGAAAAGCAGGTCTAGAGAGAGAACCCCAAATTCCCTGAGGAAGAGCAGGAGAAGCAAGGGTGACCTTATAGAGGAGGGGGTTGGGAGGGCAGGGAACAGGGGTCCTTTGGGCAGAGGACCCAAGCCTCCCCCTGGGCTTGTGATGCCTCCTCCCTTCATCTGAGGGATGTGGGGAGAGGTGGGCAGCCCATTCTGTGGCTCAAGCAACTGGGGAGATAAGATAGGAACAGGCCTTTTCCTGTCTCTTTTTCCTATTATGACAGTAATGTATGCTCCTTATAAAACATTCAAACAGGACAAAAATAGACAGTGTCAGAAGTGATAGTTCCCTGCAGACTCACCCCCAAGAGATAACCATGGTCAATGCTGTGATGTAAGGAGTGTTGACCAGCCGGGGCCAACGGCCCCTGACCTTTAGGCCCTAGCAAAGAATGGCTGTGCTTACCGATTCCAGTTACTTAAGGCTTGCTGGCTTGGGGCTGGAGTCCATATGCTTCTGTTTTGCCCCACCTCCCAGGATCTTCCTGTGCTAAATGGGGCCTAGTCTGGGTTTGGGGAAAGTGACTGGGGCTTGGCCTTTAAAGAGTCAAAGGTCAGGCCCAGGGTGGGCATGTGGTTGAGAAAGTAGGGTTGTGAGGATGTTGATACTAGCTGGTTCGTCCTTCTAGTAAACGTCCCCCTTGGCCCCAGACATCCTCACACACATTCCTTCTGTCTGTCTCTTAGCTCTCTTCTCCCCTCACTTCTCCCCGCCTTGCCTATGTCTTTTCTCCCTGCCCCTGTTTATTATGGGAGCACAGAGGTGTGCACACACAGCCTCTGAGCATGGCTTCTGAGCCCTCCCTGCTTACCGTCCCGACCCAGCCTTCCCAGGGATGGTCTCTCAGGTTTGGGAGAGAAAACCAACAGAACAGCCCAGGCTCACTCTGCTCAGGCCATCAAGTGGGTCACCAAGGAGAGGCCAGGCACGTAGCACATGAGAGGTTAGTCAGGATGGACTCTTGCAGAGGGATGCAATTGGAGGTGCCCCTGCAAAGGCCTTTTTTTTTTAAAGTTTCAACATTAAAAATAACCATCACCACTACCACCACCACCACCAAGCCTTTGCAGTGACTTAATTCTGGACATTTGGGTGTTTAGGGATTTTTCATACAAAAGATCCCTGACTCCCAACTCCTTTATGTCCATGAAAAGCTCAGGGGGTTGGACCTGTGGGGGAGGCAGATCTTAGGAGGGGGATGACCGCCATAGCAGTGACTGAGGCATGTGGGGTGTGGTGTAGTGTGTAGTGCTGTGTGGTATGGTGTGTGAGGTATAGTGTGTAGTGTTGTGTGGTATGGTGTGTGAGGTGTAGTGTGTAGTGTTATGTGGTGTGGTGTGTGTGATGTGAGATGTAGTGTGTGGTATGGTGTATGTGATGTGTAGTATAGTGTGTAGTGTTGTGTGGTGTGGTCTGTGTGATGTGAGGTGTAGTCTGTAGTGTTGTATGGTATGGTGTGTATGGTGTAGTGTGTGGTATGGTGTATATGTGTATGGTGTAGTATGTAGTGTTGTGTATGATGTGTGGTGTAGTGTTGTGTGGTATGGTGTGTATGTGTATGGTGTAGTGTGTAGTGTGTGGTATAATGTGTATGGTGCAGTGTGTAGTGTTGTGTGGTATGGTGTGTGTAGTGTGAGGGGTATGTGTGTGTGTGTACTGAGGCACTTTGAGCCCTCAGTGACTGCTGTGACCACCTCTACTAGGTTTTATTCCACCTTCACGCTTGATTGGCTGGGTCTAGAATTCTAGGCTAGAAGGCTTTCCCGCAGAATTTTGAAGGCATTACTCCATGTGGTGCCCAGTGCTGCTGCTGAGGGCCCGATGCTCTTCTAATTCCTGAATGTGTGAACCTGTCTCCCCTCTTTGGAAGCCTTCAGGGTCTCCTTTTTATGCCTGGTGTCCTGATACCTCACAGTGATACCAGATGACTGGGGCTTTCTTTATTTACTGTGCTGCCTCAGTATGGGCCCTTCTGTGCTGGAGCTCCTGGCCCTCAGTTCAGGAAAACTTTCTTGTATGATTTCTTTCATAGTTTCTTCCTCTTTGTGTTCTCTGTACACACTCTCTCTCTTCTTTCTTTCTTTCTTTCTTTTTTTTTTTTTGGTTAGGAAGACTGGCTCTGAGCTAACATCTGTTGCCAATCCTCCTCTTTTGGCTTGAGGAAGACTGGCCCTCAGCTAACATCTGTGCCAGTCTCCCTCTACTTTGTATGTGGGTCGCCTGCCACAGTATGGCTTGATGAGCAGTGCAGGTCTGTGCCCAGAATCCGAACCCACAGACCCTGGGCCATTGAAGTGGAGCACGCCAAACTTAACCCTTGCGCCCCTGGGCGGCCCCTCTGTTTTCTTTTTGTAATTGATAGAGTTTCTTTTTTAGAGGAGTTTTAGGTTTACAGAAAAACGAATAGAAAGTACAGAGAGCTCCCATGTATTCCCTCACCACCCCACCCCGCCCCAGCTTTTTCTGTAATTAACGTCTTGCGTTAGTGGGGTACATTTGTTACAGCTGATGAGCCAATATGGATACCCTACTATTAATTAGAGTCTGTAGTTTACATTAGGGTTCGTCTTTGTTTTATGTTCTGTAGGTTCTGACTAACATATAATGACATGTATCACGCAGCATAGTTTCACTGCCCTAAAAATCCCCTTTGAGTTGTTGATTTTCAGGTTGCTCTGCTTTTTTCTTGTCTTATGGATGGGAGAGATGACTCCCAAGCCCCTCACATGGGAGCAGACGCTGCTTTCTTTTTGGACTTTCCAGTGACTTGCTGGTGAACCTCCTTGGGTTGACCTCTAATAATTGCCTCATTTTTGTCCTTCTACTTTCGGGGAGATTTCCTCCAATTTATCTTGGAATGTTCTATTTCAGCTCTTCTGTGCTGGGGAGGTTACGCATTCTGCGTGTTGCTGTGAGAAAGGGGCTGAGTTTCAGTCACTCCTGTTTTCAGCCCTGCACCTGACCCCTGTGTTGGGCTTGGTGTCCCTAAGTCCAGAGCCTTTCCGGTTCAGGTTCTCTGTGAGAGCTCTCTGCTCATATCTGTAGGAGATGGGGCAGGCTGTGACCTGGCTGAGAGGAGGGGAAGGGGACCTATGGGGCCGTAGCTGTTCTGCACGGAAGCTGTATGGCGCCGCCAGCCAGGCAGATCGGATTAGTCGGCCTTCCTTCTCAGGCCTCCTCCTGGGAGTCTGAGTGGTCGGGGAGTAGGATTTGGGAAGCAGAGGAAGGAAGGGCTCCGTGCACACCCCTCCCCTGTAGGGTGGGCTCCACCCACCCTGTGTAGCAGTCACGTGTTAAGGGTCCCTGGGAGGGTATAGTGGGAAGAACGTGGGCTTTGGCGTGATAAAAACCTGCTCTGAGTCTCCCCGCTCCTTCCTGGCTGCTGGTTCCTCGATGAGTTACTTTACTTCTGAGCCTCGACCTCCTGATTGTAAAACGGGGTAGTGTGTCTGACCCCTCAGGCTTGTTGTGAGTGTAACCGAGAGTGAGATGAGAACCCTGCCTCCGTTGTAGTTCTCACAGTAGATGCTCAACAGATGCGAGTGCTCTTTCCCTCCCCTGGGTCTCTTACTTAAGGCTCCTTTATGCTGTTCTGGTGTGCTCCTCCATCTTGCAGAAGTGTTCCTGGCAGGGCTTGGGGTGAGTCAGTGAGTGGGTAAGGGGTGTGTGTGTGTGTACATGTGTATGTACACTAGTGTTCCTGGCCCCAAGCCCCTGGGTGAGTTGTTCTTTCCTGGGCTCACGGGTGGCTCAGAGCAGAGCTTTGGCTGGGAGTGGTCAGAGATGATGTAAACAGGGGAAAATGTGGGTAGGTCTGTTTATACCAGGGCCTGGAGATGTAAGGGTCCCTCCCAGCCCCAGCTTGCCCTTCTGGGCCTCAGAATTTCAGAGGTAGGGAGATGGGGTGGGTGGGGGAGGTGTCTCTGAGCTCTGGGGAAGGTGCTGGGGCCGGAGGGGGGCATGGTATGGTAGCCACTGCCCCGCCCAGTAGCACTGGGGAGCTGCCCCTACTCAGGATGTGGTTTTCTCCACCATGGAAAAGTTGCAGACAGTTTCTCAGCTCTGCCTGTGGCCTGGAAGGCAGGGCCTGTGTGTCAGAGCAGGAGCCTGTGGGGAGAGGCTGCCATGGCCCCCATGGCAGGGAGGGGCTCTGTGAGGTGCCCGTGACCAGCTTGGCCGCGCTCCTCCTCTCACAGGTGGTACAAGCTGCACTCCAAGTCAGGCAAGAAGGAGAAGGAGCGTGGCGAGATCCAAGTCACCATCCAGTTCACTCGCAACAACCTGAGCGCCAGCATGTTTGACCTGTCCATGAAGGACAAGCCACGGTCCCCCTTCAGCAAGATCAAGGACAAGATGAAGGGCAAGAAGAAGTTCGATCTGGAATCCGCCTCTGCCATCCTTCCAAGCAGCGCCGTGGAGGATCCTGAGCTGGGCAGCCTGGGCAAGATGGGCAAAGCCAAAGGCTTCTTCCTCCGCAACAAGCTGCGCAAGTCGTCTCTGACCCAGTCCAACACCTCGCTGGGCTCGGACAGCACCCTGTCCTCGGCCAGCGGGAGCCTGGCCTACCAGGGCCCGGGTGCCGAGCTCCTCACCCGCTCGCCCAGCCGCAGCAGCTGGCTGTCCACCGAAGGGGGTGAGTGAGAGAGCGAGGGGCCGTGCCTCCCTGGGGAAGGCAGGGGGCGGGCTGTTCCCTCAAGGTGGTAGGGAAGGCCCCGGCCGGAACAGGCGTGTCTCCTGGCGCTAACCCCTGTGCTTCCTTTTCAGGCCGGGACTCTACACAGTCCCCCAAGTTGCTCACCCACAAAAGGACCTACAGTGACGAGGCCAACCAGATGCGAGCGGCTCCTCCCCGGGCCCTTCTCGACCTTCAGGGCCACGTCGACACAGCCTCCCGCTCTTCCCTCTGTGTCAATGGGAGCCACATTTACAACGAGGAGCCCCAGGGCCCCTTGCGGCACCGCAGCTCCATCTCGGGCCCATTCCCACCCTCCAGCTCCCTGCACAGCGTCTCTTCTCGGCCCTCCGAGGAGGCGCCTCGGTCTGCGGATGACTCCTGGGGCAGAAGCAACCGCAGCACCAGCAGCTCAGAGGTGGCACCTGGACAGGAGGAGCTGAGCTCTCAGGCCAAAGTGTTGGCCATTGGGGCCAGCCACTCTGGAGAGGAGGAGGGGGCACGGCCCCCAGAGGGGAAGCCCGTGCAGGTCGCTACACCCATGGTGGCCTCTGAGGCTGTGGTGGAGAAGGAGGGAGCCCGGAAAGAGGAGCGGAAGCCCCGGATGGGCCTCTTCCACCATCACCACCAGGGGCTGAGTCGGAGCGAGATGGGGCGCCGCGGCTCTCTGGGAGAGAAGGGTGGTCCCACTCTGGGGGCCTCCCCGCACCACTCGTCCACTGGGGAGGAAAAGGCCAAGAGTAGCTGGTTTGGCTTGAGAGAACCCAAGGAACCAACTCAGAAACCCAGGTACGTGCTTGGCAAGACTAGCTTTGCTCTTTGGGGAGGATGCTGGGGTGTTTGCAGCCTGGACCCTGGGGCAGGGAGGGCAGAGCAGGTGGGAGCCTCAGGCAGGCTGCTGGGGCTCTGGCTTTGCATGGTTGAGTGAGGAACCCTGTCTCCCTAAGCTAAGGCTCGTTGTCAGCACACGGACACAGGTGAGTTGCAAGAGCACAGAGCTCTGAGGGCACCATGGGTTGAGGAGCCTACCTCCTAAATCATGAGCCTCATTTCACCCCCTGAGGGAGGGCAGGAATAGGAGAAAAGCTGGGAAGGCCATTTGTATGAATTCTTTGCTTCCCAACCTCCGCCTCTTCCCCTCTGGCCTCAAGGTCAGGGACCCTTGGCAGGTAGAGAGGTGGGGACTGGGGACAGTACCTCAGGCTCCCCTCACCCTCTCTGAAGCTGGGCAACCCTCCACCCCAGCTGCTGAGCTGTATGTGGTCTCTTCCCTCTGAGAGGTGGGAGTCAAGTAATTGATACCCCCACCCCTCCCCTCCCTACTCACCCCCAGTTGCTCCCTTGGCCTGACAAGTGGCTGTGGGCAGCTCCCCTGACATCTGTGACCTACCATCTGTCCTTGGAGACCCTGGGGGCACTGGCCCTCTCTGGTGTCTCTTGGTCTTGAGGTATGGCGAGTGCTGATGACGGCTGCTCTGTTTTGAATGTGCTGAGTCCCACCTGTGAGAGGAATGTAGGAGTCCTTCAGCTCAGGCCCTGGGCAGAGCTCCTAAGAGAATTCTGATACCAATTAGGATTCTGTACCCAATTCTAACATGAGGGGCGGTTCCCCACTCATCCAAGGAATTCTCTGACACCAGCTGGGTGTCCTACAATTCATCTCAATTCTGACATTGTCTACCTGGAGATAGCAGTGGATTCCACATGTGCTCGGTCCTACAGGACTGTCCCCCACCACCAGGTCAGATGCCAGTCGCAAGTCCAGGTTGTCACCTGTGCTTCTGACCAACCAGCTATAGATTGGAGGTTCCAACGACCCCTTCCTTCCTTGGGTCCAATGAATTTGCTAGAGTGGCTCACAGAACTCAGAGAAACATTTTACTTACTAGATTATCAGTTTATCATAAAAGGATCTAACTCAGGAACAGCCAGATGGAAGAGATGCACAGGGCAAAGTATGGGGAAGGGGCACACAGCTTCCATGCCTTCTGAGCGCCTCACTCTTCCCCCAGTCTCTATGTATTCAGCAACCTGTAAGCTGCCTGAACCCTATCCTTTTTTGGGTTTTTATGGAGGCTTCATTGCATAGGCATGATTGATTAGATCACTGGCCATTGGCTCTCCCCTCCCAGGAGGGTCAGGGGGTGGGACTAAAAGTTCCAACTCTCCAATCACTCGGTTGGTTGCCCTGGCAACCAGCCCCCACCCTTAGATTCTTTCCAAAACTCACCTCATTAACATAAACCCAGTTGTGGTGGTGAGGGGCTTGTTATGAATAACAAGACACCCATTTCACCTTTATGGCTCTGAAGCTATTTCAGGAACTGAGGACAAGACCAAATACTAGAGCAAAAGAGACACCTATTGTTGTTATCACTCCGGAAATTCCAAGGGTTTGGGGAGCTGTGAGCTAGGAACAGTGGATAAAGACCAAATATGAGAAATACATATATTTCAGATTTTCTCATCTGAATGACCAAATTTCTGTTTCTTATAAATCACGATATCGCATTCCCTGATGCCCACCCTGGCCCTTTTGCCTCCTCCTGACTGGTAGTCAGCAGAGGCTGCTGCATTGTCCAGCAGGGCCCAGGGAGTGGCTCCAGGCATAGTCCACAGGAGCCAGTATCTCTCCCCCTTCCCAAGGGCCTGGGGCCAGCCCTGGACAGGCAGCATCTGTGGCCACCCCTTCCAGTGTGGCAAGGGTGCCTGTTTGTGTTCTCTCAGCCAGCCTGCTCCTCTCCTTTGGTGGATATATGGGCAGGAGGTGGGGTGGGGAGGCGGGGCACAGTGGTGAAGGGTCGAGCAATGGGGCAGAGGGAGGGCCCCTAAACCTGTTCCCCAGCAGAGGGGAGGGGACTCTGGAAGTCCTGGTTCTTTTCTTTCCCTGTGAAACTCTGAGTCCGCTGAGCGGAGTAGGGAGAGGAATGTAGGACCTTTTTGTGTTTGGGCCCTGGCTGGCTGGCAGCCCTCCACACAGCCTCGTAGACGGGTGTGTGGGCTGGATCCGTCTCTGGGTGACGCCTCCCCTGCTTAGTAGCAGCTTCTGTCCCTACTGCCCAGCCCCTACTCTCCAGAGCCCAGGGGAAGCCTGGGGGAAGAGTGAGATGAGGGGATGAGCCTTTCTTAAGTGCCCAGGCTGAGCCTGGTGGCCCTCTGACAGCTCAGAGATATTTGGAGGTGGCAGGGTAGAGGGAGGTGGCAGGAGCCCTGGATGGGCATTTGCTGGGAGGAGGTGGGGGCCCTGGGTCAGAAGGGGCACAGACCGTGGGCTCAGTGCTGTCGTCTGTGGGGTAGGACAGATGCTGGGGGACATCTGTTTGTGCAATCATTTCTGGGCACGTACCCAGACTTTGGGCTTAGACCCCTGCAGGCCATGACTGAATAACATTGACTTGGAGTGAAATTGGGGTTGTCATTGCTCCTGCTTACAGCCTCTGTTTTCCTTCTCCTGTTTCTCCATGTCTCTTAACGGCCTTTCAGAGTCAAGAGAAGTTGGGTCACTGATGGACATAGGAAGCTGAGGTGTCCTTCTGTACTTGAATTTTCAGCTTGTCCTCAGCTGGTTGAGGGCGCCTGGGCATCCCTGCCCTCCCTGAGGCCCATTTGCAGGGGCAGGCTCTGTGGCCTTGCATCCAGGTAGTGAACTGGAAGGCTGTTCCTTGGGTACAGTGGCCTGGCCTGGAGAGGTGTGAGCCCTGGCCATTGAGTTACATCAGCGTCACCCTTGCCCCGTGTGCTTTGAAGAGACGGGGAGGCTGGCATGGAAGAAATGACTGTTGGCCTTTACTCAGAGGGCTTGCTTAGAGCTTTTGAGGGGAGAATGAGAAGTGAGCTAACTCGCAGCAGGAAGCTGTAGGTTAGACACCCAGCAGCGAGTGACTGAATGTGACTGCAGGATCCCCAGCTGGGGCACGGGGAGCCCATCCACAGGCCCAGAAGTTTGGGGTGCCTCTGCCGGGGGGCTGCGATCCCGGTTGCTGGGTGTTCCTCACTGGGAAGGGCAGCGGCGCCCTCTAGTGCTCCCCTGTGGCACTGATGCCCATGGAGAGGCCTGAAGCTCTGCATTGGCTGTGCAGCCTCCAGAAAAAAGCTGCTGCTGTTGGAGGAGGCAGTGGCTGGAAGGGAGGGAAGGAGGGTGTGAAGGGCCAGGAAGATGGTCCTCCTGTTCTTCCTGACCTGGCTTTCATCGGCCAGGTCCCATGGCTGGCACACTAGGCCTCCACCAGGATTTGTGGCTCGGGGGAGGGGGCATTGGAGGGCCTGCGCAGCAGCCCTGCTGGGAGCCATTCACCTTGAGCTGCGCTCTGGCTGCTTAGTGTGTCGGGACTGCCAGGACCACGGGTGGTACGCCCGCAGTGCCACAGCGGGTTGTCTTTGTGTCTGTCCCTTTTTGACCCTTCTGGAGTAGAAGCTTCCAGAGGGCAGGTGCCCCTGAACTCTGATGCCCCTCCCCCCACTGATCCTAGCACTTTGTGCACAGTGGGGAATCAAGTATTGAACACAAACATTTCCTTAATTGGGGGTAAGTGCGGCACAGCATAGAGGCAGTGTATTGTGGTGGCCTTTACCAATCCCTGCGTCCACCCAGCCCCTCTCCAGGAGTGGTGGACAAGGGCCCCATGAGCCCGGAGTGTGCAGTTGCGGGCATTCTCAGTGGAGTAAATGAGTAACTATGGTGTGTGCCCAGTGAGTTAGTGTGGCCATAACGTCCTATTTGTGCCTGTTTTCCTGGCATAGTTAATAATGTCCCTTTACTGTATTAAAAATGTTCTGGTTTGGAAGATAAATTATGTTTTCCCTACTTACAACTTACAAGGCCTCTCTATGTCACTTCATTGTGCCCACCTGATGGGAGAGGCAATGTCCAGTCTCCTGGACACGTTTCCTGGACTCTAGGGCGCATCTCAGGCAGATTCCAGGACATTGTGCCTTAGGAGAGTTGGCTGAAGGGCAGGTTGCCTAGGGGTGGGTATGCTCTAAAGGCTGGCTTTGGCCTTTTGGGGGCCTGCCTGGTACAGAGCCAGACTGCCTGCAGATCCACATGCCACCTGTGGGACCAATGCCTGGAAATGAAAACAAGGACACAGAGCCATCTCAGCCTAAGGAAGAGCTGTCCAGCAGTGAAACCTAGCCTCCAGCTACAGAGGTGGCCCGGTGGTGGAGTGAGTTGCCCAGCAACAGTGTTTAAGAAGAGGTGGGCTGTCAGAGTGAACAGGAGATTTCTGCGTTAAGTGGCAGGTTCAACTGATTGTTCTAAGGTTCCTGCAGGCCCTCGAGTTCTGTTCCCATAGGTTGAAGGGGCAGAGACATTTGGACTTTTGATTTCTTTCCCCAACTTTCCATCCAAAAAGAGAAGACAAAGCAGCATATGCTGAAGCCCCCACTGCTTGGCGGGGGGATGGCACCGTGCTAGGCTGGCTTGGTAGGTTCTCGGATGCAGGTGGTTTCTGTCTGTCTTCAGAGCATAACCTGCAGAGGTAACCACACATGGGAGTCGATCTCTGATCTGTGTCAGGTGGAATGGTAGGGAACGGATGTTTTAAAGTGAGAACCTTCAGAATGTGCACCTCATGTGGAGCAAGGGCGAGGGAGGCATGGGGTGGGGCATGTTGCTGGGTCGAAAGCGTGGACAGGGTGCTCTCAGAGGTGCCGCCAGCTCTGCGGAGCATGCCAGGCCTGGCACCTGGAGTCCCTTCCTCCAGGGAGAGCCCTTTGCTGGTTCCATACCAACGGGTTTGTGTGCATCTCTGGGGAGCCCATGGGGGTTGCCAGCCTAGCCTGGGGCTCCAGCCTTCTACCCTGCCACTCTCCTGCCCTGCAGTTCTGACCGCCAGCCAGACTGCTGCAGACTGCGAGGGTGAGTGGGGCCAAGCTGGGGCTGAGGGGTTGTAGAGCTAAGCTTGGTGCTATTTATTGTTGATGGAGCTCTCTTCCCTCAGACCCCTCTTGCCACTCATCACAAAGGGGACTGGGGAGAGTACCGAGTACCAAGTATCAGAGTACTGAGCCCTGTTCTTGGGGACTGAGTCCTGCTGGCAGAGTTGGGCTGTATCTGATATGGGTGCTCCAGTGGGGGGCGGCTCAGGGCAGGGTCTTGACCCACATGGTGGTGGTACATTGCTCTCCTTGGTACGCAAGGTAGGCATGTGTGCCTTGGCCCTGGGGCCTGTCTGGAAGGGAGAAGGGATGTCTGCCGAGTTTGGGACTCTGGGCCCAGGATTTTCCCTCTTCCAGTATCTTCACCATGTTGTGACCATAGGGGCAGAGCAGTGCTGGGAAGCCCAGCTAGGGTGGGAGTGGATGGGAATTTTTACATCCTCTCCCTCCATCTCTAGATGGTGGCATGAGACTGAGAATCCACCCTTGGATAGGGAGTTATTGTAGGGCAAAAATAGGGTCAGGAGAGCCTCTGGAAGCTGGATTCTTAAGAGAAAGCCAGGGGCTTGAGACCTGGCTGTGTCCTGCCTGTGAGGCGGAGTCGCAGACTCGCAGACTGTCTTGGGAAACCCACCTTTGCTGCTAGTTGAACTGGACACCTTCCCGTTGTCTGCCCCCAGTGTTTGTGGACAAGCTGGCCCTGCCTGTGCCCCACTCTGTCTGGGTGCCGGGTTCTCAGAAGAATCCTGGCAAGCTCCAGACTCGTGGGCCTCTTTCCATAGGTGCCTCTCCTACCCCAACCTGCATTCCTGTGGGCTGACTGATGAGGCCACCTTCTGCCACCTCAGGGCTCACCCCCTGCATGTCCCTGTGGGAAGAGAAGTTCCCCAGGATGTTTCCACCTGGGTAGGGGTCAAGGAATGGGGGTCTTGGGACTTAGAGTGGGGGCTGGGAGACAAGGCTAGGATAGCAGGTGAGGCCACCAAGGTCTGGGTCTGACATGGCTCTGCCTCCAGGCAGGCACAAACCTCTGATAGACTGCTGTCACCTCGGGTGTTGGCTCCTGCATTGTCTCTCTGGCCTCTTTCTCTGTCCCAGGGGTGTTCTGGGGCAGCCGAGAGCTCTAGTGTCACAGTTCACCCTGTCCACACTCCTAAAGTCAGTGGCGTGCTGTGGATTAGGTGCAAGTGCAGGAGATGCCCCCTCGTGTAGAGGACCCTGGAGGGGACACCTGAAGGCCAGCAAGGCTTTTCCAGCATCTTTAGGAGTGCAGGTTCACTGCCATGGAATGGATTTCCCAGGGAAGCCAGGGTTCTGTGTGGGGAACCCCAGGAGGCCCCTGGTGACATCCAGTGTTGCTGCTGCCGCCTCTGCTCCCACATTCCAGCCTTCATCTCCCCAGCAGGGCTGCTTTCAAGGCTGGCCTGTAGGTGCCATTGGTGAGGAGCACAGTCTGCTAGGTGCTGGGCTGTGTGGACACCTGACAGTAGACATCCTCAGCAATGTCTTGCTGTCCTCATTGGCTGGTTATGGTACCCCTCCAAGAAACAAGAGGGGTGGGTTCTCTTCGATTGACACCTTGTCATACCTGACGACAGCCTCATCATTACCTCCTGTTCCTTCAAGGGGTCAGTGGAACCCAGACTGTTTCAGGAGTCAGAATTCCAGGTGCCCTGCTGGCTTCTATTAGTGTGGCTTTGTCCAGCCAGAGACCTAGGCCCAGCCTTTCTCTGATCTCTTTATCTCCTGCAAGTCAGCTGATACTTTCTTTTCTCTCTCTCAGTCATTAAAGGGATGTAAGGCTCTGTCTGATTGGTTCTTCAGGTGTAAGTCTGGCATCTAGTAGAATCTTCAGCATAGGGTAGTGGAAAGAACGCTAGGTTTATCTTGGGATTCTGCCTGTAAAATGGGATTATTGCTCTCTGGGGTTGGTGTGAGGATTAAATGAGCTCTTGCCAGCATCTTCCTCCTTGGATGGTATCAAATAATGTTACATGTTGGGGCCTTCCCTCTGTCCCCTGGGCCACATGCCTGAACCCTGCCAATGTGGCATGTGGCACCTCATCCTGAGGCAGGTGGGGGGCAAGGGGCGGTATTCAGCGGGGGCGTTTCCAGTCTTGGCATTAACCAGGAGGCTCACGGTTTTGTCTCCCTCCACAGCCTGGACGTGTCTCCTCAGGTAGAACCTGACCCAGCTGCTCTTCCTCACCACCTCCCCTGCTCCCCCCGTGCTCCGGCCCCCCCCACTCCTGCTCCCACTGCTGCTCCCATGCTAAGCACTAACCTTTTAGCAGCCGCCTCCCCCGCTGCTGCCACTGCTGCTGCCACCACCGCCGCCCCTGAAGCCACCCCATCTGGATTCTTGGGTCTCACCAACCCGTTCCTCACCTCCTTGCAGAGCAACCCTTTCTTCGAGGAACTCATAGCCGACATAGCACTAAACTCTCCTTCACCTGCTCCCTCTCTCCCCAGTGCCTCGAGGGCCAGCCCCACCCCCCTGGCCTCCCCTGGGAAAGCCCCGCCTGAGTGGGACGACACCTTCAACGTCTTTGCTGCCAGCAGGCTGCGTCCAGAGGCCAGGAGCAAGATCCTGGCCCCTGCAGGAGTGGGGCTGGAGGCGACTGGGCTGCGAGACCCAGGCCCCGGGGCCATGACAGTGAAGGCAGCTGAGCCCCGGGGGGACCCTGGGGGAGGAGGAAGAGGTGGGAGCAACGTGTGGCTGGAGCCCAGGGTTCCTCTGGACTTGGGACTGGACCGCCAGAGCACGAGTGCGGCTGACCTGGGGCCCCTTGGGTCCGTAGGGGCTGGCCTGCCCTCCACATCAGCCCAGCTGCACTCCAGAGCCTCGGACCCCGAAGCAGACAGGGAGCTGCTGGCCCCAGGAGGGGAAGCAGGGCAGAGTCCAGCAGACAGTGCGACGTCTCTCTTTAGCTCCCCAGAAGTGATCAGCGTGTGGGAGAGGCTGCCTGGCCCAGACGACGCCCCTGAGGGCCAGGATAAGGAGGCCTCCCAAGGCGAAAGCCAGCTTTTGCACGAGCTCAATACAGTGGACAATTCCTGGCCTTGGGATGTGGTTACTATTTCTCCTGCGGCTGAGACGTCCTCACCAGTCCTGCAGGGAGAGTCTGATGAGCTGCCTCCTCCCCAGGTGCAGCCAGAGTCGCCAGAACCCGTGAGCCCCAAGGGGAGCCAGGCACTTCCCCCACTAGAGCTGGAGCCAGAGCCCAAACCCAAGCTGGCGTCCGGCAAGGGGCTGCAACCCAGCACACCACCTCCCAAGCCACCACGCCTCTTCACCCCCTCAGTTTCCCAGGAGAAGGAGGAGGAGGATGCAGGGGAGCTGAGCAGCAGAGGGGCAGAGACAGGAGGAGAAGACACCTTCCCAAGTGCTCTGGTTGCTGGTCTCCAGGAGGCCAAGGAGGAGGACAAAAAGCCCAGGTTGGAGTCTGACAGCCGTTCTTCTGGAACCCTGCTGGGTGAGCCAGGCCTGGAAGATCTAGTGGAGGATGCCAGCCGTGCGGGGTCTGGGCCCTGCCTGTCTCTGCCCACCAGCTGCCCTCAGGCTCCTGCCCCCATACCCTGTTACTCAAAGAGTTTGGCTCTTCAGAGTCAGCAGAGCTGGGGGCCTCCAGAAAGAGAAGGCTCTGAGGTTCCTGAGGCCCAGAGCCAGGGACCAGTAGGAGAGGGGCTTGGGCCCCTGTCTGGCAGCTCCCAACAGGCTGACCTGTGGGCCTCGGAGGAGGATGCCTTGAACCCCTTCTTGTCTCAGGGGAGCCAAGGTCCCCCCAGCCTCCCGTCCACATCCCCTCCAGGGTCCAGGGAATCTTCCGTCCACTCTGGTCCAGAAGAGCTGCCCACCCCCACAGAGCCTGCCTTTCCACCGCCCCCTCTCCTGCCCTGGGCCAGCCACCGCCACGGGGGGCCCAGCCCTCCGTGTTCTCCCCCGCCTGGAGCCTGGCCCCTGACCTCTTCCTCTCCACCCCCCGGGGAGCCAGCCTCCCCCTCTGCGGGCTCCCCTGCCCCACTTGGGGAGGACCGTGCTGCAGCCACCCCAGCCTCCCCGCTTGTGCTTCTGCCCTTGGAGACACGACCAGCTGAGGAGCCACAGCCCAGTGCCAGGTGAGCGGCCCCCCGAGAACACTCTCCAGGAGGAAGTGGGTCAGGGTGTGCAGAGCACCCTGAGGGCTGAGGTGGTCCCATTCCAGCCTCAGCCCCTCCAGAGGCAGGCGAGGGGCTCCTTCGCCTCGAGGCAGGATGGGGGAGGCTGTGAGGACATGAGTATTCTGTGGTACTGGCTCTGAAGCCCCCTCCTTTTTGAGGCCTTGGAGGAGCAGGTGCCCCCATAAGCCAGGGGTTTGGGTGTCACACTGATGAGGTGCAGGAGATGAGGAAGGGGGTGGGGAGAGAGGTGATGCGGGCCGGCAGGGGAAGGGGGGTGAGAACTCAGGCACTCAGCCACAAGGTGAGCTAGGGGCTGGGGGCCATGAAGCTTGTCAAATAGGGGCCGTATCCTCCGTGGCAGGCCCTGGGGGAGCAGGCTGTGGAGGGCAGAGAGCCAGAGGAGGGATGGAGACTGAGGTCAGAGAGGAAAGCTGGAGACACCTTCAGAGGACAAAAAGAAAAAAGAAAATGCTTCCCACATATGTGATCCTCAGAAGAAAGGTCTCCAGCTTCGTCAGGGGCTTCATCAGTTTGCGTTTGTGCCTTTTGGGCTGGTCCCCTGCACTTAGGACTGTGCCGACCTGATAGCGGATGCCTAGGTGACTGTGGTCACTGTGGCGTTGGTCTGTTTTGGACAAATTATGAGGCTGTGACCTCACCAGGTGGTTGCTGAGAGGTGAGCAGAGCTGAGGTCTGGAGACACAGTCCCTGGGGGGTGATGGGCTGTGACTTAGCGAGGGGCAGCTAAGTCCGTAGGGGTGCCAGCGCTCGAGGAGCCCTGAGTGAAGAAGAGGGGAGCATAAGTGGCCACTGCCTCTGGGGAGCAGGGCAGGGCGAGGGTTTTGGGGAGCAGGACAGACTCCAGCAGTGGCCTCTGTGAGGCCCCAGCCCACTGGCTCATACATTCAGTCATCCAGATTCACTGAGCATCTGTTGTGTGTCAGACACTGAATAGGGCTGAAAGACACTGTCCCACCTGTATTCCCAAGGAGTTCCCAGTCCAGTGGGGAAGATGGAGGTGAATCCATGAAGGGAAGGCCCGGGGGCCGGTGCTGATATATGAGAAGTGGGTGGGAGGGAGTCTGAGCTGCCACCGGCGGCTGTTCCAGTGGTAGGTGGTGATGCCGTTCCCGGAGGTGTGGGAGAGAGGTTGTTACAGCTTCATTGCTCTGATGACAGCATCTTCAGCTAGCCCTGCTGTATTCCAGCACCACTTCAAATTATACTCACCACTTTCTACAAGTTTTATTCTCTTCAGAGTTGGCATCATGTCTGTACTTGGCATGTTCCTTACATCATGAAGCAGATGGGCCAAATGAGCTGTCCCCATTTCTCAGACGAGGAAATGGAGTCCATGAGGGATCCAGGGTCCGTCAGATGTAGTGGGGCAGTCAGACTGGGAGCCCAGAACTCCTGGCCCGTCATTCAGGGCGTTCTTACGCGGCAGTGATGTTCCTCCCCTCCCCCAGCACAGCCCATGGGTGGCGTTAGAGCTGCCTTTCACCCCCATCCCTACTGCAGACCCCTAGGTGGGAAGGAAGGACTGAGATAAGGTCTTTTTCCTCCTGTCTGCCCCTGCCTGGACTCTTGGAGCTCTTCCCAGCTTGTGAGTCTGCATCCATGGCCCTATCCTGAGTGACAGAGCTGGCTTCTCTGGGTTTGGGTGAGCCCCCTCCAGTGGAGATCAGGGCCTTGGGCTAAGCCATTTTGCTTCCTACTCCTGAATGGTCCAAATCCTCTGTGAAGTAAGCGTAAATTTTAAGAGGTGCCCAAGGGGCAGGTTAGTTGATTTGAGGGCCTGATGCTTGCAGTTGGGGTGAAATCACAGGTACAGGTACTGGGGGATCCCAGAGGAGGGTCCCCTTAGTCAGCCTGGGGGAATCAGGAAGGTTTCCTGGAGGAAGTGGCCTTGCACAGCTTTGAAAGGAGAGTAGGAGTTAGCAGGCCAGCAGGGGCAGTGTTCCAGACAGAGGAACAGCTTTTGTCAGAACGTAAAGATGCAAGAGCTGTTTCCCCTGGCCAGAGTGCGTGGGGAGTAGAGGGCCAGGAGGAAGGGCAGGGGCCAGACTGCGTTAGAGACTGTGTTTTCTTACCCTGACAGGGAGCCAGGAAAGGCTGTGTAAGCATTGGAGAGGCTGAGAACATTATCCCACAGCAGAATGGGGGTGTGCTTGGAGGTGGGCAAGAGACCCACGGAGGAGCTGACTTACCAGCTGTGGCCAGAAGGAGGGTTTAGCTAGCACTGGCTTGGAGAGGAGGAGATGGTGTGAGAGAAAGTGAGAAGGCAGCAGGGCTGATGTTCGTTAAGGCTGCATCTGAAGCGAAAGATTCAGAGGGGTTCCCAGGTTTCTGACTGGATTCATGGGAGGCTAATGGTGCCACGCATCGCTGGGGAGCACAGGAGAGGGCAGGCATGGAGGGGAGTATGATGTGCCTGGGGTGACCCTGAATGGAGCAAGGCAGCCTGTGACTCTCTACATGATGGGTCCAGAGCTCAGGGGTGAGTTCTGGGCTAGAGATAGATTGCGGTGACAGGAGTCGAGGAGGTGGAGGGGAGGAACCCAAGGGCAGACAGCAGTTAAGACTGAGAAGGGGCTGTCAGAGGTCAGAAAAGCAGATAGAGGTCTTGAGGGGAAACGAGGGAGAAGGAGAGCAGCCCAAAGGAAGGAGAGGTCCTAGTGTCAGCTCCACAGAGAGGTCAGTGAGGTGAGAACCGAGGGGTTGGTGGCCTCAGCAGGAACATATGTGATGGGCTGGGGGGAGCCACTATGATAATGGGTTGAGGAGTCAATGAGAGGTAAGAACTGAGAGAGACAGAATGCAGCCTGCATCCTCCGGGTGAGAAGAAGGAAGAGGTGGAATGACTGAGGGTGATGGCTGGGCGAAGACAAGGTCAAGGGAGGGTTTCTCAGGCCTGTGTAAATGCTGAGGGGAGCAACCGGCAGAGAGAGGTGGGTGACCAAGTGTCTTAGTTTTAGCACTGAAAGTCCCCCATCCTGGCAATCCCCAGTCCTGGGAAAATTGAGGAAGTGAGAGGGTTGGTCACCGCCCTAGAGAAAGGTTACGGTGTAGAAGAGGGGGAGGGAAGATGGATGGCAGGGGTGTGTGGGGTGTGGCCCTGCAAAGACTGGGTGTAGGTGCAGAGCAGTTTGTAGGACAGCTTCTACTGTCTCTGGGAAGGGTGAGGTTGTCTGAGGGAGTGAGATGGGGATGGTGCAGGTGGTGGGGTGAGGAGTGAGGACAGCAGTGAGGGCAGAGGAGAGAAGGGCTGCTGAGGAATGCTGGGTGCAGATGCCCTGCAGCCCTGGCTGAGTAGGGGCAGCCACCACCAAGTGGTAGGTTTCTGTCCAGCTGACCTGCTGGCCCCACAGAGAAGGTGGCCTCATCTTTCCCTTGTGCTGCCCATCCATCGCATGACACATATCCTGTCTGTCTCTGCAGTCCCCACCCTGTGAAGCCCCTCAGTGCTGCCCCCGTGGAGGGCAGCCCCGACAGGAAGCAGCCCCGCTCCAGTCTGAGCACAGCCCTGAGCAGCGGGCTGGAGAAGCTCAAGACAGTTACATCTGGCAGCGTTCAGCCTGTGGCTCCGGCCCCTCAGGTCGGCCAGACAGTGGACACCAAGAGGCTGAAGGTGAGGCCCAGCAGGATGCCAGGGGGCGTCTGACCAGACGTTTGGTGCTGTGGAAAGAGGGCAGGCGTCTCAAGGTCAGGAGCAGGGTGCTGGGCAGGGCGGAGCAAGGAGCAGGCCTGGTCTCCCATGCCAAAGCCCTGAAGCCAGTTTGGCCATCTGTGGCATTAGAGATGGAGGCAGCTCCAGGGGCCTGTGGGTGTGAGACTAGGGTGTCGGTGGGCAGGCGGACAGATAGGCCTGAGGCTGTCCTGCTCACTCTCATTCCATCTGACTGCAGGACTCAGGTGTGCTGGATCAGTCGGCCAAGTACTACCACCTGACCCACGATGAGCTCATTGGCCTGCTTCTACAGCGGGAGCGGGAGCTGAGCCAGCGGGACGAGCATGTGCAGGAGCTGGAGAGCTACATCGACCGGCTTCTAGTGCGGATCATGGAGACCTCACCCACGTTGCTGCAGATCCCCCCTGGCACCCCCAAGTAGTCCTCTTCACTCCCGCCCCGGGAGGGTTGGCGTGGACCCATTGCCCTAACAGGGCTCACACCCTCCCTCCCTCCCACTGAACTCAGCCTCCCCGGGGCAGGGTGCAGTCTGTCCTCTATTGTGACTCTTTGCTCTCCCTCCTGCCTCAGTGGGGCTGCTGGAAAGGGGCCCTTTGGACTCCCATTGGAGGCATCAGGTTCCGTGTACAACTTGTGTGTCTTTGGGAGCCCTGGGTCTTTCCCACCTGCCTATTTTCGTATCCCTTAGCTTTGGGAGCTCCAGGGAATTGGAACAAAGCATTCAGCCCTCAAGATGGAGCAGGGGCAAGCTGCAATTTGATATGGTATCTGGGACATAGTTTATTACCCCTCAAGGATGGTTGTCCATTTCTTCCACGGCTAAACCCTCATCTTCTTCATCTCTCTCTAGCCCCTAGGGGACTCTTAGTATTACTGGGTCAGTGGCAAGGACCAAGCTGCCCGTTTGTGATTTATGGGCAACCAGAGCACCTGCTCTTCAGCCTCACATCTGTTCCCCTGAGAGAAAAGAGCCCGTGTGGTCTGCTGTAGTCTCATTTCTGCCATGCCCTGAGTCTGTCTGTTTCTAGCTATTTGCGGAGCGAGTGCAGTGTGGATGGAGGGAGATGATGTGTTCTCCAGGCCACTCCCTGCCCTCCTCTTCTGACCTTCCCTTTGAGTGTCATGTGTGAATGTGTGGAGAGCTGGGGCAGGTGGGGGGAGAGCGCCTCCTCACCCACCTTCAAGGTGTGGGCCCCTCTAGGCCTCAGGGTTTGGGGATCAAGCCTTGTCTCTGCTCTTGTTGCCTGTCCAGATGCCAAAACTGTGCTGCTGCAGGGTTTGACCTTTTGGAAACCAATGAAAATGTGCCTTTTGTGGGTGGGGTCAAGAGCCTCTGGATGTAGACCTCTCCCCCTGTTTGACATCCCCCTCCCTCCCTGTTGAGCACAAGGGGCTGATCTGTCAGGGCTCTGGGAATGGGAAAGGAGGAGGGGGGCAGCCCAGCTGGGCTCTCTGCCCCTCCCCTAGAGTTAATTTCAGTTAAGGGTGTGGCCAAGCTGCTGCTGCTCCCTCGGACTCCCTGCTCTCTTCTCCTCCTCCCTCAACCCCAATTGGGGAGGGTTCTAGGATAAAAACTGCATTCTGGAAGTGGGAGGTCCCATCTGCCTATAACTTAGGAAAAGCCTTTGTTGCCCTCCCATCCATCCACTAGCTGCCATCCCAGCCTCTCTTCTGCCCCATGGCCTTGCCTGGCTTGGCTGCAGTTCACTTTGAAATGAAGTGTCTGCCCTTTGGCCCAGCCCCTGCTGCAGAAACATGGCAGGCTTCCCCATGGCATCTGCAGGGAACCTTTGGTGGTTTGGGGCACCCTGCTTTAGCAAAAGTTCTGGGATAAGGAGGTATTGAAGGAGGGTACTTTTGAACCAGTGAGGAGCTAGAGGGTGAGAGCAAGTCTGGGATTGCCTCTTCTTTGTGAGGGCCTGTGGGATCGGTCGGGAAGCCTTGGGAGGAGATGTGCTCTATGGGTAACATCTTCTGCCAGAAGCAGAGGAGCCCCACACATGGGGGAAGGCCTCTGTGATGTTATCTACCTTAAGGACCACTCATCAAAGCTTGAGGAAAGTGTCCACAGGTGCCTAGGACTTCGGTCATGTTTTTTGGGGTCATTGAAGGTTGGAGAGGTGTCTGGGGGGGGGGGTCACTCCTCTACTAGGTATTCCTCTGGGCTCTATTCAGTCCCAGCCCTGACCCTGATCTTCTACTCATCCTTGATTGTGGGCCTCCAAAATGCCCAGCACAGGGATGTCTTCGGGAGAGTTTTGAGTTGAAGCCCAAGGTTCTTATTGGATGTTTCTGCTCCTGGCCACAAGTTAGAGGAGAGCTGCTGGTGGGGTGGGCAGGGAGCAGGCACAGTTCTGCTTTGCTGTTTGTCTTCCTAGTTGTAACTCCTGTTTATAAAGAGCTTGTTCTTCATGTTTTGAGCACTTTATGAAGAATAAAAAGTTCACATACTGCAGGTGCCTCTGTTGTGTTCCTGTTTGATGAGCATGTGAAGGAGGCTTCTTCGGAGAGAAGGCAGCCTTAAATCAAGGTGATGGGGTTCTTGGATGACACTGCCCCTGCCCGAACATCAGGGGCAGCAGCACAGTGTTGCCCAGTGGCCTGGACTCAGTCTTTTCTCACTCCCAGGATACCCACATTTACTGAGTACTGTCGGGGAGTATAGGGGTAAAAGACTTGATTCCTGTTCTCAAGCTGTGTAGTCTAGAAGGGAAAGATAAGACAGAAATCCAAGTTACAGATGGTTCTGCATGGCTAGCTAGAATCTCTCCAGCTTTAGGAAAAGTCTGTTTCTTGTGGTTCAACTGTGGATGAGGACCTGACTGCTACAGCTCATGAAGTGTCCAGAAAGACATGGGCAGGCATGAGCCAACCCTGCACCTCGGCATGAGACTAAGGAGATCCAAAGTGGGGTTCCCTAGGGTTGAAACCAAGTATTTCTACTATTCTCTTGGGTGAAACAGGCAGTTTCCCCAACTCTCTTCTTCCAGTCTGGCTCACTGGCCAGATAATTCAGTTAGGAATCTCTGCAACTCTGTTCTGCAGGAGGGTGTTGATTATCTCTGCTGGTTTCTTGTTCTTTGATCTGCAGTGCTCCCCCTTACCTAAAGTCCTTGTAGCTGGTGTTTGATAAACACTGCTGAACCCCATCTCCAACTCCCAGTTCTCTTCCTGCCCAGGAATTGGGCCCAGGAGAGATCTTCCATGGTTGGCCAAAGAAGTGGAGCCTGCCAAGGCTCTTAAGCCTCCACTGTTTAGGTCATACAGCCAACACACATTTGTCCCTGCTGTGAGCCCTCTGTACCTGGCACTGAGGACTTAGCAGTGAATCAAAAAGTCACAACTCCTGCTCTGTGGACCATAGAGTAGGAAAGACGGATACTCAAAACCTTAAATAACTATAAATGCAAGGGTGGCAAAAGAGAGGTTCTGGGTGCTAAAAGAGCACGTAGTGGGTTTTGTGGAGGTAGGGTGATGGATCAGGAAATGCAGTGTTTAGGCGGAGGCCAGAAAGATAGCCAGCGTCAGGCGAAGATAAAAAGTTAGTCTTCTGGGTACGGAATGTTCAAGGGTCAGGGGCGATGAGCGCCCAGCATGCTCCAGGAACAGCGTCAGGGTGGCTGCAGAGCACAGGGCGAGGGACAGGGTGGCTACAGAAGAAACTGCATAAAGATCGCGCAGTGCAACTCTGCAGAAGGCCTTCTGAGATTAACCCTACTCCGTCTGGAGTCCTTTCCCAACTGGTCCCGGGTCGGACTCGCTTGAGCAGGGCTCTTCCGGGCTGCAACTCCAGTAGCGATGCCCACCGCAGCAACTCAAACTTGTAGGGGCAGGTCACCAGCGAGGGATCGCCCTGTGGCCCCCTGTCGGGATTTTAGAGTCGTACATGCACGCTCTTCCCGGACTGCAGATCCCTGGCAAAACTGGCGGCGGGAACCGAGCCCGGGTCTGAGTCAGTGCAACTCTCCGCAGTCTAGGGTTGTTAAGCGCTGTGACGAGAAAAACTACATTCCCCACAACCCCTTGCGCCCCCGGCTGTCTGCGGTTGCTTATGACCAATCCGGAGAGGCAGCTGTGGCGGGGGCCGAGGAGGGACATTTTAAAAGGGCCGGAGATTGCGGGCGTCAGTGGCCATGGCGGATACAGCGACTACAGCATCGGCGGCGGCAGCGGCTAGTGCCGCCAACGCCTCGACCGATGCACCTCCTTTCCAGCTGGGCAAACCCCGCTTCCAGCAGGTGAGGACCGGGCTGTGGTCTGCGAGTCGGCGGGTGGCACAAGGAGGGCGAGCAAACTCCACTCCAAAATCCCCTTTAGCCCTAGGGTCTCCGACCCGCGGCCACCGGGGAGCCTGCAGCGACTGCCTCGGGGACCTCGGCCACAGTCGCCCCTTTCCCATTGGTCAGCAGGGTGGACGAGGACTCCCACCTTGGCTCCCTATTGGCTGTCGTCGCCGTCGCTCCGCGGCTGCCAGCGCCTCCCAGCCTCTCCCGCCCGAGGCGCTCTGTGATTGGTCACTGCCGGCCTCGGCCCGGGATCCGGGCGCCTGGGTCCGAGCGGCGTCTGCAGGGTCGCTTTGGGCTGTGCAGCGGTCCACTCTGGGCAGAAAGTTCGAGTCCGGCCCTGGGTGAGAAGTTGGCGTGGCCGAGGTCCCTTCTAACTTTTTCCCCGGGTGGTGACTGGATTCTTTCCGAGCTGCTGGCGGAGGCTCCGGGCAGCACCTGCGCCCCGCGGTCGCGCTCCCAGCCCTCGATCCCACGCCGGGTCCGCCTTGCGCGACGGGTTGGGGCCACGAGCCGAGGGTGCCCGCGGCCCGGCGAACCCCGTCCCCTCGGCGGGGGATTCGCTGACGCAGCGAGTTGCCCGGTGGTGCCCTGCCGGGGACGGAGCGAGGACGTGCGGGGAGAACCGGGGTGCGGAGGAAACGCTGTGTCATCCCCGGGACCGCCGGCCGCTCGGGGGGTCCGCGTCCCCGGCCGGGAGCCCGCCCCAACCCCTCCCCAGGGGGTCGCCACAGCCGGGCCCTGCTGCCGCCGAGCGCTCGGCTCTGACCGACCCGGTTGGGCTCTCCGGGGCGCGGTGACAGCGGTCCTTTAACTCCGGGACCCCGGACAGGGCGTCGCTAACTCGGCCACGGAAACGGGGATCGAACCGGCGGCCCGGGCTGAAGGCTGAGAGGGGCCCTTCCCACGCCGTGGGCCACGCGTACTCTCCATCCCCGCTGCCTCCGGCGCCGAGGACACGGACTTTACTAGGAAAAGGGCAAAGAGACTGCTGAGGTGAACCGGGCTTGCCTGGGCTGGGGGCGGCGGAGGCGGGCAGAAAGAAGTTTGCAGGAAGGAAGGAAATTGTAGAAAGGTCGGCGCGGTGGGTTTGTTTCTGTTTTTTGGGGTTTTTTGGTGGTGATAGGAGAGGGACCGGTTCCAGCAAACTGGTGCACCGAGCTTCGCTGATACTTAAGGAAACGTGCTCCTGAGACTTCTGAGAAAATGTCCCCACGGTTTTTAAATAGGACTTTAATTTCTTTAAAAAAATAAACTGTCTGGGCATGTAGGTGCCCGAGGTGAGACTGGCGTCTTCCCGCCAGTGTAGCATGCCCCCTAGGATGACTGTCAGGAGTGCCTCTGCCTGTTCCAGAGTGACTCTTCATTGACTGTCCCCGTTTCCCGGCCCTCCACACACAGTGCACCCATCCTTCAAGGCTCAGTCAGGCCCACCTCCTCAGAAACATTTCCTCCCTTCTTCCCCTGTGACATTACCCACTGGTGGGACCAGGTCACTGACTCCCTCCTGCCTCTTTGGCCACCCAAAGTGTGATCCTCATAGGTCAGCCTTTACTGACAGTCTGCCCTGTGGTCCTCTACTCCTTCTCTGTGTGATTTCTCGGTCTCCTCAACCCCTGTGTGCGCCTTTTGAGAGAAGGGGCTGATCTTGCCCTTTGGGTTGTCTCCATCTTGCCTTGAGGTGGGGCTAGACACATAGTAACATGCCAAATAAAGATTCCTGGGTTGTTCGTTTTCCAATACCTATTCTGGGACATTCGGTCACACAACAGACATTTATCAACAACTTTTGAGTGGCTTTAACAACTGAGCTGTTCTGATCACCCCTGGAGCCATACAGGCACACCTGAGACTGCTGTCATCCTGGCAGCCTTTGCTAGAATCTCTTTCTGTCACTGCTCCTGAGGGCAGTAAAAGTGTTTGTTGTATTTGCCTTTGAGCACCCTTCCTCCAGCACAGTGGCCTGGGTAAACCACAGTGCACGTGATTCATCGCTGTTAAGGAACTTCTCCTCTTTTGCCCAAACCTGCTCCTTCCACACCACTCCCTAGTTATGCAAGCAGCCCAACCTGCCACCCAACTGACTCCCAAGAAACCTAAGAGTCACCTACGTACTTCCCTTCCTCACTCTCACTCTCTAAATACAACCAGAGGGCCAGCGTTCTCATTTCTTACTCAGCTCTCAAATGCACCAGTCTCCGTCTCTGGAATTCCAGACCAAGCCCCATCATCTATCTCCTGAGCCGCAGTGGAAGCCTCCCAGCAGGTCTCCCGGGTCCACTCTGGCTCCCTTCCAGTCCCTGCCTTGTCCTCATGGCGGTCCCAACAATGCAGGTCTGATCAGGTGACTCCCACTTCCCTGCTTAAACACCCTCGAGTGGCTTCCCCTCCTTCTAAGATAAAGACCTCACTTTTGAAAGGGCTTCAAAAGCCTGTGTGGCCCACCCCTGCTGACCTCTTCTTCCTCAAATCAAACCCCCCACCCCCACCCCCTAGAACTCTCCTTCCCACCACACTGGCTGTTTTCAGTGCCTTGAACCCTGAGTGGTTCATAATGCAGGGTCCATTCCCAGGGCCCACACCAAGGACATCACCCTCAATCCCCATCCAGTCTACTGCTTTCTGCAAGACCGGGTGCCAACGTCTTTCCGTACTCCCAGGAGTCATCGCAGAACTCTCTTCGTTTCCTCCGTCAAGGATCTCCCTGTGAAGGAGGGCAGGGGGAGGAAGGCACTGAGCAGCGTCAGGGTGGAGGAAGATGGCTCACCTTGATGGGCTGTGGTCTGTGACCACCTTTCTCCCTGTAGGATGATGCTGATAGCCCAGCGTTGTTCCGACCTTTTGGTGTGTTGACTTATTTAATTTTCACAACAATCCTGTGAGACAGGTATAGTTATCCCTTATATTGTAGGTAAGAAAATCGCAGCACACCAACGGATTAACGAACTTCCTAGGCATTCTGGCTCCAGAGTCAATGTTTGTTTGTTTATTTGTTTATTGTCAACTTTTTTATTATGGAGGTTTTCAGACATACAAAAGTGGAGGCAATTGTTGATGAACTCGTATGCACCCATCACTCCACTTCAACAATGACCACTGTAAAGCCAGCCTCATTTCATCTATACGCCCCCACCCCCAACCAGTGGATTATTTTAAAGCGAAGCCCAGACAT